CAAGAACAGTTGAATTGATATATGCAAGATAGAAGAGCTAAGATTAGGTAGGTTATCCTTTAATCTCGGATCGAGCATTGCCCGACTACTGAATGAGATGCAAAGCCGACCGGCATAAAACGTCCTGTTGACTACTCTAGTTAAGGGTCATGATAGAATGTCACTTAATATATTAGGCCTATTGGTAAGTGTGTGGATAAATATTGCTATATACTCGAAATACTACCAAAATAAAAACTTATCATTATGTATAAACGCATAAATAGTATATCCCGTAATCGGTCATTAGATAATCCTCAACAAAGGAATGAATACCGACACAAGATGAAACAAAATTCGTCTTATTTTATTATGTGTTCTAATCACCTGATATGGTCAGTCGATTGTATACATGTAACGCTTGGTAAAATTCAACTCAATGTTTCTGGCAACATAGTGTAAGTGTATAGAATGCTGTAGAAAGTGAGAAATGTTACAGAACTAGCAGAAAATTCTGGAATCTAGGTTGCGCGTTTGCTAGTACTCAACAGAAAGGAGTAGTCACAAACACGAAGAAGATTATGTTCTCTTGGTGATTCAAACTTGTTGCGCATAGTACTGAAGTTAGTATCTTCACTAGTAAGCTAGTTAACAACAAAGTTCAGTGCAACGTAATTTCATGTTACTTATTGTAAATTTGATGAAAAGACTTCAAGTAATACTGAGCAGAGGAGATTAAATATTTGGTTACCCTCTGTTGACTTATTTGTATAAAATGAAAAACATATTATGCTGTAGATGTTATAATAGACAACCACAATTTAAAGGTCATCAGTGAGTATCTTGTCCTCATATTAGAAATGGTTAACTCCACAAGTCACAACTGTTTTGATTAGAACTTAAAGAAATCCACCAATGCACTAATCAACAGTAAACCGTTTGGTTGAAAATAAGTTTCATCATGAATCGATATGAGCTAGAGAAGCAATAGAAATTAAAGTTCCTCGGCTAATGTCAATTCATGATGAAGAATCCATTGGGATAAATCGAATCCCCACAAATTTTTTTAACTAAACGATGAATAATCAATACGTTAGAGTGTGTATGTAGCATAAAACGAAAAGGAAGTAAATTTCAGTTAACACGTCAATAAAATTACTACAGCCAGTAAAAGACGATAAGATGAAATAGTATATTATTATCTAACGTTTCGAAAAAGTATACAAAAGATTTAAGAGAATGAGAATCAATTTTCGAAGGTTACCAGATTAATAGAACATTGATGATAACCTTTTGAATATTAAGTCACATGGAATTTTAAATGTGGCGGTTAAATTTTTGTTTTATCGACAAACAAAATAACCCAAGAACAGAATTTACAAAATACGATCTATTTTGAAATATTTTTACTGAATTGTTTTTTGTCAACTTTGAACCACCTTGAATGATCAGAAAACAAATGACTTATCAATGTATTGAACAATAAGATTTACCAGTTGACAATGTACATGCTTAAAACCACCTAAAATATACAATCTAACTAAGTGTTTATTCATTAGATATAAACGGATGAATGATCTACAATGACAAATGGAGAACTAGAGATGTTTACGTAATTGTGTGACAGGCTGTCTAGATAATAGTAATAATAAAGAAAAGTAGACGTGAAATCGATGAAATCAGAGTATACACCTTTTTGTTCAGTGGAATAATCACGAAAATTTGTGAAGTTTGAAGAACTAGAAAAAAAGTACATAATAATATCAACACCATAAGCCAAAAGTGAGACTTTACTCATAGGTATCGCTGGTAAGAAGCTCAAAGAGCATTTTAACAGGCGGCTTATCAGAGTAAACATGAATACTATTACACACTAAGAGCAAATTGACAGGAAACCGTGGACGTGGATTTCAAGTTTGTTTGCATGTATCAACAAGGTGTATTTGTAATCATGACGGTACTGGTATCCTATTGAAGATTCGAACCTGTATCAATCAGCATTTCTATTAAAGACTTTGCCATCAATCAGCTCAAATCAGGAATGCCTCTCTGAATAAGATTGGAGCGTATACTACAAGAATTATCCACTTGATGGTAAGTCAATGTAGTCATCAAGTCCTCAGTGTGTTTAGCAGCACAGGTCGAAGAATGAAACCTAGGTGTAAGGCCCACTAGCGACTGACTTCCAGTATCTAACACCGAAATACAGGGCATCACAGTCTCGTGTGACTTAGTTAAGTGATGATATCGTAAAGTTGGCTGATATTTTAAATGCCGCATGATCACATTTGCCATGCAGTGAGTACACATCTGAGCCACAGACCTCTCGGAATATGCTCCTATGTTGATAATGATGATGATGATGACGGAATATGCTCGTAAAAGTAGACAAGGGTCAATTTTTCCATCGTCCTAATGTATTCACTTGTTAGTGGGTAATGACAAAACGCGGTTACAGTGAAGAAAAATTTTTTTTCTTTGATGAAACCAATTATCTGGATCGCATAGACTTTTTTACAATAAAAGATGGAGTAATTCATTTCTTCGTAACCTTACAGAGAACATGGTATTTGATTTTTGGTTGAAGAGACAAGAAAATATAATTAAGACGAAAATAACTAAGACGATATATATATATATAGTAGGTTAGACACGAAAAAAATCTAAATGCACCCACCAACTTTGCGCATATTCATGCAGTAGGCAATAACGTCACACCTATTAAGCGAGAGCTAATGATGCTACAATAGTCGCACAAACCTTCCTAGGTGGAGCGGAATTCAAACCCGTGACCTACTGGTTGGTAGCCACAGCTCCAAAGGTTAGACTGCTGCTTCATTAATTGAATTTAGCTGAAAATGCCAATATTACAAATACTTTTTTTTCTTATCAAAAAAGAACGGTACAAATCCTCTTATAGGTATTTGTAAAACAATTTTCATCGTTTAATACATATTGCCAGTGAAGAAAGATTAGAATATATGACAATAGCTACCTCACCATATATACCAGCAGCATAGTAAATCGTAACTAGGAATGATTCAAGCTCCTTTTTGTATCTGATAATCGATCTAAATATCTTGTCTTTTTTTATCTGTTCCTTCTAATCCTTGAAAACCGTTTGCAGTTTCTGAGTAGATTCATATTACCTCATATTCTGGTTACTAAGGGAATATCAGTATGAAGCACAACAAAGACAGTCAATGATTTCTTAAAATTAAATAAAACGCAATCCTTTTGTTTGATTTTGCAACCGATAGGTTATCGTGCGACTAAAAATGTGATGAGTTGTGACTTTTAAGACAGATATATGACACATGCATGAGTCTATGTCTGATCAAGTCATGCATAGGGCTAGACAATATGCACAGATATTCTCAATGGTTACTACTGTCCTATGCTAATATGTCTGATAAAAGAATCCTATTAATTGTCTTTTAAATGGTACTGAGTTCATACTACAGTGATTATGTAACTGTAAATACAGGTATTTCATGCTATGTGTGTGACTGAGCTAGTGTGAACTGTTTTCGGGACTGTCCGAAATACTACAAGCCTTGTTTCTATATGAAGTTCTAATGAATCCCAAGTGCAGAATAAATAACTTAGAATTCAAATGTGCGAATGTACACAAGGCCTCTGACTGTATTTCGATCTTTTCTATCGTCCGGTTACTAACTTACGCCCAGTGAAGACATGATAGGTTTCATGCGACAGTACAGTAGGATCAGTCAAATTAACCCAGTCAAAAAGTAAAGTAAAACAGAGGTATCATACTATATATGCAAGATAAACATTGTGGCTTAAAACTTAAATACCTAAAAGTTTAGATAACAGAATAAGTAGCTACTTTAGCTGTCCGTTTCGTCGTATTTATGACTCGTCAGCTGAATGTACTAACCTCCCAGTGAGTGATGCTGTTCCCATATGCCAATCAACTTGTTCCAATCAAAGACTGTAAATAAGAAGTTATAACATCACCGGAATCGACTGATAGAATTACTTCACCACAAAACATGTGGTAATAATAAATTACTTAACAACAAGATCATAATTACGTCTAAATTAAAATATTTTACAAATATAATGTTTTCAGTAAAAGTTTCTCTTAACATACAAATATTCCTATATATATATATATATATATATATATATATATATATATATATATATATATATATATATATATATATTCCTATATCATACAAGTGCTGGAATTTTGTGTTTCAGCAAAGGGAGCATTACCCAGTGGAATAAAAATGGATTCAGTTGACCAATCTTGGACTGAGTAAAACGTAACACAAACATAATTCCATCGCTAGTCATATAATTGGACAAAAACACAGTATTTGGGGTGAAACAAATAGTGAAGGTTTCCGCAGAAATCTGGTCAATTCCAAACAAAATAAGTATTTAGGATTTGTAACAGCTGATTTCGAATGTCATGTCTATTCTTGGTTTAAAAAAAAAGATACTTTCTAAAAGGAACTAAGCATACAGTACCTAGGTATCAGGCAAATTCGATCACTTTACAGTGTTCGACCCGCGATATTAGTGCAGTACAGGTCGAATCTGAAATATTAAGCGACAGATCAAGCGAAAAATAACAGTAATAATTTCTACTGCATTTACTAAGTTCACTTATATAACTTTAATTCAGGTATATATATATATATATATATATATATATATATATATATATATATTTGCAATAAAGAACTACTATTGACTGATAACATCAACTTACTTCAGGGGATGAATAGTTGGAGTGGTAACCGATGCTGACGATGAGGATGATGATACAGAGATCGATTGACATGAATTCATCCAATTAAAGAGAATAAAATTAATGAGACGGTTAACTTTATGATTTAAATAGTTGGCCAGATGTACATCACGTACACGTGTTGACTCAATAATACTCTTATAGGATTGTTCTTCTTCTCGACGATCAGCTAGTATATGAGCAGTGAGTTGTTCAAATTTAGTGTGTTGTTGAATATTAGACATATGTAATTGATTTAATAGCAAATCACCTTCAACGCTACACGATACAAATGATCACGTACGGAATGTGATAAAAGGCGTCCTTCGTTAACTAATTCAATAAAAGCCCATCCTGCATATTTTTGTAACGAGGTTTGCCATTCCTTAGGGAGAAAAAGAAGAAATCATGTAAATAATCACAATGACTGGTATGACACTAAGTGATATCATTATGAAATGACAAAATTTATGGTAACTCAAGGACCAATGTGGCTATTAAAGTCAGACAAGTTTGATCATCCCGATAACCCATCTTGAAGACAATTTATATTGATTTTAAGTTGAGAAAAGCTCAATGGATTGCGATTTCGATACTAAGAGGTGTAATGTGAGTATAGGTTTAACAAATACAACTTTTGTACTGTGTAACACCAATGAATAGTGACTAATCGAAGAGACTGTTGATAGGCTACGGAAAGCATAGCTTTTGAAATTGTGCCAGAGTTTTCTAGGATGACGAAAGCCTATACAGCATATATATTTTAGATCAATCTTTACTGCTATAACTATCTCAGGTTTGGGATATCAGTTAACAAAAACTAACTGAATGCTTTTACGGTAGCATTCAGCATAGACTGACATCAGTTGGAGAACCATTTAAAAACCTAAGAGCACCGAACAACTGTTTCGCTCTAGTATGAGCCTCCTCAGCAGTACGCACTCACGACAGCGCCAGGGGTCCAACTTAAAACCTTCAGGTTTCACAACGAACGTATAAACCATTCAACTAATGGGTAGAAGTTCAACGGTCCACAGTTTCAAACTTTTATCAATTCGTAATACAGCGCGACTATCATCCAATTCACTTTCAACTGGTTGACTCCACAGGTCACGGCTTCTCACTGGAACTGCTGAGGAGTCCCATACTACGATGAAACAGGTACCTAGTACTCCCAGATTTTCAGTGGTTTTCCAACTGACGTCAATCTATGATGGAAACTAACTTAGAAATAAAATTCTCAAAAACCTGAAACTTCATAAATGCTTTTAGTAAGTTTTTCATGTTACAAGACAATTTAAAATCCTAAGTACAATGGGTAAAAAAAACTAGAAAAAACAAACGTTGAAACGAAGTAGCATGTAAAAATGACTAAACAGAAAACAAATTGTTACTAATAGGTTGCTCAAGATTTCAAGTAAGGTAAAGAGTGAACGTAAATGCATTATTAGGCACCAAGAGATATTACATCACATAAGTAAAACATTCCAAAATTTCGCCTAAAATGAGCTAAGAATTACGAACAAGTTATATCATAAATCCATACAAAACACTCACTGGCATGGAGTCTAAATCAAAAATAGCTGTTTTCAAAATAGCCAATCAGCATATTGGTTCCCGTACCATCGCTACAGAATGTTATTTCAGTAATGTCAGAGATTTTTAGCCATCCATTTTATTGTTAATTACAATGATTGGCAATATAACTCATGCAATGAGGAGTTGTCATCATCATGGAGCTGTGGCTCACTGGTTAACGGAGATAACTTTTAACCAACCGGTTATGGGTTCCAACATCGCCCCCACCTTCCGAGATTCGGGCAGTCAGATAGTATGATTAGTCCTCATACACTAGGAGTGATTCATTGCTTACTGCATGAATGTGTATAACTTGGCTGAGGGGATTTGGATTTTTTCGATTCGATTCTGTTATTCTCACAGATCAACATTCTTGACCACCTACCTCAACTTGAACTCAATGCAGTGACCGTATCCTTCCTACAACAAGTGTTGGTCTCTTATCCTCTCTCTACCCCAGCTCTCCCTCTTTCTCAGAACAATATTAAAATAAATTATAAGAAGAGAGTAATTGAGAAGGAAACCTCCAAGCAACAGCTCACAGTCTGGTGCCAGTGAGCCAATATGTGACTACCAAGCTTCCTGCAAAGCTGTAGGATATGGCCATCATCAACTGGCTTCAGGAAAAACAAATCATGTGCGGATCAAATTGCAACGCAACGCTACGCATCATCATAGAACAGAGCATAGAATACCAGTCAACTCTCTACCTGAACTTCATCGAATTTCGAAAGGCCTTCTTCGATAGCATCGACCACGAAGTAATTTGGCAGCTGCTTCAACACTGCGGTTTTAGTGCCACAAACATCTATCAACCTCAATCAAGTTATATATGCTATATAATACCACATGCCAAGTAATTCACAATGGAAAGCTCAGTGACGCCTTTGAACTGAAGACAGGAGTAAGACGAGGTTGCCGCCTACTATCACCGATCATCTTCCTGATTGTGATCGACTGGACTCGACTGGATGATGCAAGAAACTGTAAGGGGTGAGAAGATGGGCAAATGCTGTTTGACAAATGAAAAGACCCCAGCAGAAGATTTGGATTTCGCCGATTATAATTTATGTCTAATGTCTTGTTGCACGAACTCGAAAATCTACAGGTAAAAACCAACAAATTGACAGAAGAGGTGCGGCAGCGAAGATGGGACTTCCTTCAGGTGGACGTAGAGAAGACAGAGGTGATGAAGATACCTAACCGAAAACAACAACAAGCACCAATCACCATAAACGGGAGAAATCTGAAGGAAGTTGTATCTTTCAGCTACCTATCTTGGCAGCATCGTTTCAACTACAGGCGGCACAGACACAGATGAGGATGTCGAAGCCAGGATCGGAAGGACAGCAAGACAGGCCTTCATTAACCTAAAACCAGTGTGGAGATCTACTGCACTCCACTCAGCATAAAGTGTGAACAACATCCGCATTTTCAACAGTAATTCGGTCAAGTCAGTGCTTCTATGTGACGGTTCAGAGACTTGACGTGTCACGAAAAGCATTTACAACAAACTACAGACATACATCAACAGCTGCCGCCTACGCTCACTCGATAGTGAAGATCAGATAGATGGCCAGAAAGAATAAGCATGGAAGTGACTCTGGCAACAAACCAATCAAGAACCTCTCGCCCAACAAATATGCGGAAGCAGAAAGTGGAGATGGATTGTATTGGATATACACTGAGAAGATCATCCGGGGACATCACATGCCACGCCAGGCCAGGCTGTCGAGTGGAACCCTAACGGGAAACGACGAGTTGGGCGTCTGAGGGTGACATGGAGGAGATCGTGTGAGGAAGAAATGTAAGGTTGTTGGCAGTTGTGGCGCCAGGTTCAAAAGACTGCAGAGAAGAGAGTGAAGTGGTGACGTGCTATTAAAGCCCTATTGTTCCACTAGGAACCCAAGGGACGAATAATAATAATCATAATCAGTGCATGTACAATTGTTTAGACCACCTGATAATATCCCCGTCCCTCTCCCAACACACATCAGATACATACGTATATAAGTCCAAGTGTATACGAAGAGGTAAAGATGAAATAACAACTTGTCACTCACTTGGGAACACAACAACATCACTAATTCAATAACAGATGAACTTTGCTGAAAGAATGGTAAAGCATTTGGAATCAATTCTTGTCCATGTGTACCAACTAATGTTCGGGTGAAATAATCCATAAATTCAATGAATAGATCTTTTAAAAATGATCCAATTGATCCAAGACTAATGTCAAGTGAATCAGTTAATGAAGTTAACTTTTTATTCTGATTTGTATTATCATCAAGTGGTATATCCACTAGTTCATATTCTTCACTAACAGTTGAATTACAATCTAAATAAATATTATTTTATTTTAGAATAAAAAAGTCGAGTAATTAACAGATGTGATAGTGATACAACTATGTAAAAAATGGAAGTGATTAATATATTCAAGTAGTAAATAGATAGGATGATTGTAATCACATATGAACTAGAGGTTAGGTGGAATCACTGTGTGAAGGATGTTGAGGTCAGGCGAAGGATACTAGACAAGACTGACCAGCAAATGGACTGAAATGTCTTGGATATACGCCCACCTACCTCGACATGCCATACTAGGGGATGCTGGATTAGGTTGGAAGGTTGAGGGTGGCCAGACCAAAATCTGGTACCAGTCAGTGAAGTCTGTGACTTCTGGTCTTAACCATGTTGGGACATGTAAACTACTTGGTTGGAGTCCCCGAGACGATAGGAGGAACCAATAGTTGAGCACACGGTGAAATGGCTGAAAATTGGTCACAATGGGACACACATATTCATTCTTTGACATCTAAAGCTTGAGTATTTGCACTAACCTTTGTCTTCATACTGCTGATTCTGTCACACAACTCTACCTACATTGATATCAGTCTTTTTCTATTCACATGTTATTCGTACACTACTGTAAAGTGTGTCAAATTGATCCACTGGCACTTGTTTGTAAGGATCTATGTTGATTCAGTCAATCAGTCTTAATTAGAAAATACTTTCATTACAAATACAAAATATGGTTACCATAGTAACTGGGTTTATGCATCTCTTCATACTTTAGTACATTTAAAATGTCAAATCAAGTATTTTTAATTTTATGTAAATCAATCATAATTAAATAGGGAAATCAGTTGGTACTTGGAGTTTTATGGTCAATTTGATAAAAAAAAAATGAACTACTGTTTCTGTTGCTTTTAGTAATTCACTGCAAACCAATGGATTCTTCTTCTCAATGTAATAACTGTTTACATATTCAATAACAGATTTCTGTGATGAAATGTAATGAAAGTAGTAGCTACATCAATGATGTAAACGATAGTTGCGAAATTAAAACACAAATAACCCATTGTATATTTATGCATTCTAGTCATTTAATAACGTGAATGTCGTCTACGGAATCTATAGTATAGACAAATATAAAGATTTCTTTGTATCGAGAAGTGACTGTATGAGTGAAGTAATCTATATAATGATAAAATACGTTGAACGTTTGAAAATGTTTTCAATATGTTAAAAGTAATGAAATTCTTTATCAACATTGAAAGGTAAAATCTCGAGTTTTTTTCAATTTTTTATTAGGGAAAAACATATCAAGTACATAGTACAAATTAGCCAGTCGGGGTCAGTTACATTAGTGGAACATAGGAATCTTTAGCTAAATATAGAATGACTGACCCTAACCAAATGAATAATCCAGAAAAAACACTCAGCTATTGCAATCCAAGCATTAGCACTCAACAATAGGGTGGGATAAAACCACTGTACTTAATTAAGTTCAATATAATTAGAGGGGGGAAGACTGATTACTGAATCTTTGTTCATGGAATCTACATCCAACTAGCATATGTAATAGGAATGATGCAACACCTATACCGGAGATATGGAAAACTTTACTACCAATAAAAATAAAGAACATCAGGTGAAGGATTATAAAAATCAGATAATGAAAGTAGTGTGATTACATTGATATGATCGTGAGGAGTAATAATTTATGTTGGTGTTCACCATGGACTAACATTAGTTGGAAGAACATCGGAAACCTAGGAGCACTGGACAGCTGTTTCGTCCTAGTATGGGACTCCTCAGAAGTGCGTACCCACGACCCCGCCAGGGGTAAGACCCACGTCCTTAAGGTTCCGTGTTACCATTGAGCTACTGTGTCCCAATCCAATGGTCCATATTTCCAACTTCTGTCAGTTCATGACATAGTGCGACCACCACCCAATGTTATCATTGAGTATTGTCCTCACGGTTACCAGGTTCCCCCCATCGGTCACGACTTCACACTGGAACTTCAGGAATCACCTCTCGAAGCTAGCCATCCCTAACTGGGTTGTGGATGAGCATCATACTATGACGAAACAGCTGTCCAGTGCTCTCAAGTTTCCAATGTTTCTCTAACTGATGTCCATGATGAAGACTAACTTAAAAATCTCTAAATCTCCACAAACCCCCAAATACAATAAGTTATGCTGGAAACATGGCCACCAAGTAAATTATACTGTATCATTGTGTGCGCTATGTATCAAATAAACAAATCTAAGATAGAATTAAGAAAAACAATATTTATGATAAATGATTCAATTTCTATTAACTCTTGGATATATTCATCGGATCATTAATGAGAAGTGATTATACAACTCAACCCAGTATATGGGCTTATGCACTTGGCTACGAGTCGGGCTAATTATGTGATGATTTATGATATTACCGAGTAGTATGAGCTAAAGTAGCTGGAGCAAGATGTAAACACGATCAAGCCAAGTAATTAAACTAATGAGTAATATTTCCAAATGGATCAAGACTCAATTTTCGGTTATTTTATACTTGTGATTTCACGTTGAGATTAGTTTAACATAAGGCGTTAATATACCAATAGAGATTGAACAATTCGGTCCAGTAAGATTATCAAATAGAAAGTTTTAGTTCACAAGAGTATTGAATTTGAGTTTAATATTTTAACATCAACACTAGTATGTATGCTGATACATACAGATGACGAGTTCAAAATAGGATAAAACATGCAACCTGTGGTCTACTGCTATATCCATTACCACCCACACAATAACAACCATGTCACAAGACCAGATATACTGGTCGTAATAACTGTAGTCATCATGTTTTATGCTTGAAGTAAATTATGATCAATAATTTTAGGTGCATTGTGAGAATAGCTTTGCCAATTATACCTTAGTCAGCACTTTACCACTGAGTCACTTGGTCGGGATCCAATCCATCCACATCTCCTACTTGTGTCACTTCATGATATAGCGCAACCTACATCCAATGTCGTCGCTGAGTAACTGTCATCATGTTCGACTTTGCTAACTCGACTGGTCACAACTTCTCATTGGAACTTCGGTAATCACCTCTCGAAGCTCGAAGCACTAGATCAATTTAATTTAAGGGGATGTGCGAAATTATTGATTTCAAGTTGGTTTTTATCATGGACTGACATCAGTTGGAGGAAAATCGGAAACCTGGGAGCACTGGACAGCTGTTTTATCTTAGTATCGGACTCCTCAGCAGTGAGCATCCATGATCCCACCAGGGATATCTTAGTCACCATTAGATATGAAACTAACATCCTTTACCTGAAAATTTGGAAACCAGAGACCATATAAAAGGAAAAAAGAATATGCAATAATCTCTCATTCTGTCTTTCTCTCTCTATCGCATAAACATACAATAGATCGAAATGAAAGTTTTGTACAAAAATGTATAACTCACCTGTTACATTCCCCTCATGAATAGCTTCTACAGAAATGGTATTGTCACTAGCCTTTGTAGCTGCTTTAATACAATAGTTTTGTTGTACTTCACTAGAACGATTTAAATCCGTCTTTGATTGTGCATTGTCCACTTTAATACCACCATAAGGTAACCATATTGGATTTGGATCAAGAAAATCACGATATTTAGAGACCATCATTACAGAGAGGAAGTAAACTGTTGCTAGAGCTAGAAATTCAGGAGATTTAGCTGTTTCCTTTGATAAATTAAAAATAAAAAAATAAGAAGGAAAATAAGCATTTAATTGTTCATAAGAAAAACGCACATCACCTTGAAAAAAACCACTTTTAGGTTAGATTGCTGAATGAAATCAGTAAAGGATTTTCAATTTTGATTTGTACTACTTGCTAGTCGTCAGCAGAGAATATATGGAGTTAAGAAAGAAGTGAAGCTTCCTCAGATGTCAACCCTTCCAGTTTTGTGATTGGGTTTCAAGGGTGACCATTAGAGTTAAGTCAATGCTTAGAACTAGAAAACGGTTGGTCATAGAAAATACAAGTGGTTTCAACAATGCTCATAAAATAAACGGATTCACAAATTAACCTTTATCGACCATAAAAAGAGACCAACCGTGACACTAATTAGGGTACTGGATTATTTTGTGTTCATAGGTTAGCATCGAGTACCCTTATGAAAGGTACATAAAACAGCATATACATCACAGATTCAACTAATGGATATTCTGTCCTTTATATAATCACTAGACTTGAAGTAAACAGCAAAGGAAATGAAGACTCTTGGTTCATTTCATGCACAAAACAAATGAGAAGCCTTTAAGTTAAAAAGTGTCCTAACACAATGATACAGCTACAAGAGTGAATCAATGCTCAGTTTGTCTTTAGCATCATGAAAATCCCGTTCCAAATTAAGTGAACTGAAAGTATGTTATTCTTTTTCTAGTCTGAATGATTCTATTCTGCGCTTACACTTACAAAGTGTATGAATCGTAAATCCACATAAACATCACATAATCTTCGTATAAATAATTATAACTGTTCCTCTCAAGTTTTTTGAAGGTTCAGCCATAAAATAGGGAGTTGTTTGGCTGACGTATATATTCTGACATACATACTGACATGATTTTAAATCGACCCAAGTTAAAAGGAAGCGAAACACCAATCAACTCTTGATGAAAGTTATCAAAACTACTAGTTTCAAAGAGTAAAACTTGGATACCGTGGTAGAATATAATTCCATATTAGATTTATGTGACTATGAGTAATAAATTCTGTTTGAAATGTAAACAAATACTGCATCCACTGTATGCCATATAAAATAAACAATCTAGTATGAAATTACACTAAGTTGAAAGACTATATTCAGGCTACACGAAGTATACAAAATAGGTAATAAATGTGTAACTTAGAAAACCATTTATATGAACTGGTGCCATTTAATTTGCTCAGTCGCTCAACTGAGATCAAGGAAACACAATTCAATTACTTAGATGAAGCAGGTTTCCATAGGTGAACCTCTAGTAGGATCTTTATCAGTTACCCATTGATAGTTATCAAGAGAAATATAATTTATTTAATTCGGACGTTGATAGGAAGTGGCCTGAATGGATATTAAGTCAGCACCCACTAAGGTAGAAGTTTGGATTCCAACCTTATTGGACAATTTATCCTACAGTTGACCAATCAAAATAAACATTCGACTTTTGACCTATTGATTTTATATGTTCATGAAATTGTTCATAAATGTTTTTTGTTAAATAAAGTTGTCTTCCTTAGTCACAGATTGTTCTCTGTCTTCTGATTTTCACGGTTCTGTGAAGCATCAGGTCTGAGAGACAATAGTCTCTATTAGTAACCACTCGAAGTGTCTCATCGTGTTATTGTCCGCATATTTATTATTATTCACTCAGTCACTTCAGACGTTTATAAGAATTGATTGATTTTGACATAGCACTCACTACAAACCGATATCAGTTCGAGAAACATTTGAAATCTAGGAGCATCCGACCTCTGTTTTGTCCTAGTGTAGAAATTCTTCGCTATGCGTACCTATGACCCTACCAGGGGCAGAACTCAGAACAGCCAAGTCTCCAGGAAAAAAAGTTAACATTTAGTGAGTGAGTTAGAATCCGATAATCCATATTTACCTACTTCTGTCAATTCGCGATACAGCGCAACCATCATCCAATGCCACCGATAAGTGTTTTTTCTCACATCCAACTTAGTTGACTCAGATTCTCATTAGAACTTCCAGCAATTCATCTCAAAGCGTATCACTAATAAGCACCAGACAGTAATTCAATTTGAAAGTTTGTGAAGATTGATTGATTTCGAATGAGTAGATCGCTGGCAGGGTATGCGCTTTTTTAAATAGTCACATATTGAGATGAAACAGATGACAAGTGATCACAGGTTTTCAGTGGTTCCACAAATAATAATTTATTTCTCTATACATTGTAAGATTAAAAGCCATCAACCTGAAACCAGTGTGGAGATCTTCTGCACTCAGCATAAAGAACAAGATCTGGATTTTCAACACTAATTCAGCCAAGTCAGTGCTTCTATGTGATGGTTCAGAGACTTAGCGCCTTACGAAAAGCATTTCCAACAAACTACAGATATTCATCAACAACTGCCTACGCTAGCTCGTTACTGAAGATCAGATGGCCACAAAGAATAAGCAACAAAGAACTCTGGCCGGCAACGAACCAACCAGGAAGCTATTGCTCAACGAATATGCAGAAGGAAATGGGGATGGATTGGACATGCACTGAGAAGACCATTCGGGGACATCACGCACCAGGCCAGGCCCTTGAGTGGAACCCAGATGGGAAACGGCGAGTTGGGCGTCGGAGGCGAGGTTGACATGGAGGAGATGGTGTGAGGAAGAAACGAGAGCTTGTGGGCAGTCGTGGAGGCAGGTTCAAAAGATTTCAGAGAGCAGATTGCAATGGAGACGTGCTACTAAAACTCTATGTCCCACTAGGAACCCAAGGGATAAATAATAAAAATAATAAGATGAAGTTATGATGAATGCAAGCCAACAATTGCTATGTGTGTGTGTGTGTTTATGTATGTGTGTGAATAACTGATGACCACTTTGCGACTGGACTTTATCATATAAGCAACAAACTGGGCGAACGTACTGAAGCATCAATTGGACTTTTAAAGTATTTCAATTTTGTGTTGATAACACCGAAATATAAAACACCAAACTATGCGTTATTATGTGACAGGTATATTCAATTCTGTCTAGTAAATTGAGCTGATTTCATATAGAACTATGATGCTTTCAATGGAAAAATTTACTAGAAGAACTCTGTATAACGCCTTTGTTCTTCCATGTATTTTGAAAGTACAGAGGTTTTACAATATATAAATAATCTTGGTTGTTTGCTCCGGTTTTTTTTTTACCGTTAATCACTGTGATTGATATTTTATAACGCTACTTTTCATAGTGATGCAGTACAAACGATAGTGAATTTTTACAATTTTACCACGAGTCGAATTATTAAATTTCTTAGGAACAGTATTTATGATAAATGATTGTAGATCATTCTGGTGAGATTTCATATTTTCAATGAGAATCCTGTTTAGCATGACATTAAATGCATAATGAAAGTAAAAATTCACAGATTGGAAATATCAACATTGAGAGAAATGGCTACTTAATGTTTAATGAGTAAGCAACAAATTTAAGGCCTTATATGATTATGAAGAGAGGTGGTTGACCCATTATCAAGGCTGTGAGCTTCATCTACTTAAGGGAATCAGCTACATCTGTTGGGCTTTCCAAACTAAGAATTCAAGTATCATCAGTTACAAACGTAGCACTCAATGAATATAAAAAGATGACTAGGGGCCACTAGTCTTAATCACATCTTGACAGTGGTATCCTATCAATCTGTCACACATTCTGCAAGGATAAAACTTCTAAAATAATGAAATGAAGAAAATGAGAATTGAAAATATCACTTCAAAAATTAAATTAAATAGGTGACTCACTGCATATCTGGTAACGATCAAGTGTAATCGTTTCAGATCAGAATTTTGCAAAAGGATTAAAGGATATTCAATTGGGCAGATAACTGTGCTCTGAAAAAGATCATCCTAAGGAGAAAAAGGACAAAAGAAATAAACAATAGAAGTAGACAACACAACTTGAGGTCACATATATGCATAAAAAGTTTGTTATGTTACTCATATTGTTTCACAAGTACATAATAATCTTGAAGAATAGGTTTTCTTAAAATCGAATATTCTGCTTCTCAAGAAACAGTAATAATACACAATTACCATCAGTTCATTGATCACATTATTCGTTACCTACTAGATAATTGGGCTAGAAAAATAACACTGACCTAATGGGTAGTTTAATTCTACGGAGATGAAACAGTATTCAACCTGTTTGAAGATGATGGCTAGCAGTAGAATCTACAGCGTGGGTTTCCTTCTGTTTGAGACTAGTTAGTTGGATATACTGTGAGCGATGTTCCAAGCGCCAAAGCATTGTCGTGCCTCAACGGCCAAGTGGATAACACTTTGATATTTGAAGTGATGGGTACTGAGTTTGTATCACCATGGCAACAACATCATTCAATGGGGGTGTACGTATATCTGAGTCCAAAACAGAATGAAACGCATGTCCTAGACTTTACTGTTAGCTACCAACCAATAAATTACAACATGATAAACAATTAGGCAATAATCAAGGCGTCCACATAGGAGCCCACATACCAACAAGGTCGCTTAATTCAATCCAGAATAAAAACAGAAAATTACAAATATTCGATATTTGTAATTTAGAAATCATCTTTATTTATCTTCCTACTTCTACTGTGTTGTGAAGTCAACTTGACTTTTTATCTCCACCACTACTTTTCTTTTTAAAGTAGTTCATATTTGACGCTTCTATGTCATTTTTCAGAATACAACTGGTATGACTTGTTTTCCAGTAGATATAAGTTTTCAAGCTTCTTCCTTCTTCTTCTTCCTCTTATTACACAAGGATAATATTCAACTATGCCTATCACGATGGAGAAAACAATTCCAGTCAAACTTAGTCTAGCAGATGGTCTAGAGTAATCCTCATTAGTCTGATTCAACCAATCGTATCGAAGTAACTTCTATTCAAACTATCAAAATGAAGAATATCCATAAATCAAATGAAAAGTATCTGCATCTAAAATACCTCAGAAAAAAGTTCATTGATTTGCAGTGGAGAGGATAAAAACTAAAAGGATTACAAAAACACTATCAAAAATTCAACAAGAACATTGAGGGAAAGCGTACAAACAAAAATAGATGAATAAAGTTGAAATCTACTAGATAACAGAAACTTATGGCATGGGATCTTCAGTGGAATTGTTCAAAACAACCGTTTGTGACCCAGATGCAAATTCATGCCCTATTTTCATCGAAACCATAAAATTTAATCTTGTTATCTCCTTTTATCGTCTCATTTTCTTACATTCCAGTCTTTTATGAAGTTTGATATTATACTTTTCATTTCCTCACCTTATATACCTTTTGTCAACTTCTACCATATTGTGCTGATGCAAAGCTTGATAACTCTGACCATTAAGTAGTAATCTCATGTTCTGTGTTATTTATCATCTTTTATCAGATAACTAAACTCTAGACGGTAACTCAAACGCCATACTACTAGGTTTAACCTACTCCTGTATTGAATACAAATGAAAATCTCAGCTATAAAAACCTATTTAAAATCGAGTTGTCTAACTTCTGTATGCAGCTCCAGTGAAGCAGATATCTAAAACTTACGTTTGGAGAACATCTGAAAATACGGATTATTAATGGTATGCTAATAGCAACAGAAGTGAATAATCAGTAGAATAACATGCTAAAGGATATTTAGTAGTCTATGGAAGAATGATGAAGAACATCAAGAATGTATCGATTTAGAAAACAAAACAGATATCTTGAAAAATTCAGAAGGAAAATAGCCTGTCTTCACCGCTCAAAAATATTTAGTATAAATCAATCTTTCACCCAAAGGAGACGATGTGCATAATATCATGAAAAGGAGGCTCGATACAGTCATAAGAAGAACTTACTATGCTTCAAAGTTATTTTTATTATTTTAGAATCACAAAGCAGGCACTATAATTGCCAGGAAAAGATGAAACGCCTATCGTCAATACTTTCAGCTGAGTTTATCGACTTAAATGTGTTTATGGAAGCAAATAAATAGGTTATGCGAAGCGGTTGGCGTCAACTGTCGTAAAGTTGAACACTTTCCGAAATGGTTACTTCATTCTGTAGTAGACATTCCAAGAAGCTCGCTAACCAAACACCTCCTAAACTTCAGGTATGATATTAACTCGATTGAGTCAATAACAGTGGTTAACAGGCAACGGAATAAGAAACTGCTTCCGATCATAGAAGTCTGTACGACTTGTGTACGACAGAAAGAAATAGTTCCTCCAACTGATGTCAGTCTTCGATGAATAGCAACTTGAAATATTTCCAAATCTCCACAACCCCCTCAAAATTTAATTGAACTAGTGCTCGTTGGTGACTAGCTTCGAGAAGTATTCCCGAAGTTCCAATGACAAGTCGTGACCGGTGGAGTCAAAGCCTGATGGTCGTGAGGACAAACACTCAACGATAACATTGGGTGGCGGTTAGCGCTATATCGTGAGCTAACAGAAGTTGGAAATATAGAGCATTGGATTCTGACTCAGTAGCTCAATGGTAACGCGCTGGCTGCGGAACCTGAAGGTCGCGGGTTCGATCCCTGCTGGTGGGGTCGTGGGTGCGCACTGCTGAGGAGTCCCATACTAGGACAAAACAGCTGTCCAGTTCTCCCAGGTTTCCTTTGTTCCTCCAACTGATGTCAGTCTTCGATGAATAGCAACTTGAAATAGTAGTGACTCTTAATTTACTTTAGTAGCATTTTTAATGCATTGTGAATTTGTTATTCGTTATTATTAGTTAATTATTTCTTATTCTTGACCTATTCCATACTAACTCGTTTCATCTTATGAGCAGATCTATTACTAGTAATCATTTTTGTTAATCGCTTACTGACTATTGCTTTCATGATGATGTATATAAACTTTCATCCATGTAATTTAACAGTCAATTTTCACACAATGTTCAAAAACGTTTTATGTCACTGAGCCTTATTCGTTGTTCCTTCCTTCATTCTGTATTTCAACGTGGTAGACATAAATCAAGTAGAAAGAGTATAGTAAATAAGCGCAGAAGTGAATATACTATCCCTAGGGAGATTACTATCAAGGTAAAATTAGAGATTGAATGTATCTTTCATGAACATTAAGAGCATCATCATCATCATCATTATCAACATAGGACCAGGCATTACTGCATAACGGTCCGAGTTGCCACACCTCATATCAGCACATCAAGTAAAAAGGTAGTGAGGTGAAGGATGAAGATAAGTGAATGCAGTCAAAAGAAATATAAAGTATGAGAAGAAAGGAAAGAGGAGTGACAAAATAGTGAGATTCGGTATAGCGTTGTTAAGATGAGGATAATGTGTGTATACATCTGCGTCACTGACTTCGGTTCTGAGCCATATCACCTAGGGTCTCCAACCACTGGTTCCTCTTGTCCCGTGGACCCCAACCACCTAGTCTGCATCGTCCTACATGGCTTAAACCAACAGTCAGAGACTTCAACATTAAGAGCAGGATTGTAGTACTTAAATTGCCAGAGTTTCGGCTGTGTTCACATGGTGAATATCCACTCGCTTCGAAGTACTAGTCTTCGCTTTATCAATGACTTTGAAACAAGACTCACATTGAGCACAGTGGTCTGAGATAACCCAATGCTCAAGAATCGAGCTGTTGACAGCTTCACATTGTCCTTTGGATAGCCGTATAGGATGGTGTTCGGAGATGCGTCTGGATAGAACAAGCTATATGTGCCCTATCTAACCAGTTGAGAAGTTCTATCGAAATTTATGAATTCATTAAATTCTGCTCTCTATACATTTGTTGCTTAGCATTAAATTTCCATCAAGAAAGGAATATATCGTCAATTCTTCATGTATAGACAAATCAAAACTTGAAGTGAACTAACAGTTTTATTGAAGGATTAGTAGACAAAATTGTATTAACCATTGTAATATAACACTAGTAATTATTATTTGAATTTAAAAGAAAACAAAAATTAAAACTTACTCCATATTTCTTTGGATAATTAAAATATGGTTTTATACTATACAATAATTGTTGAAATGTTCCACTCAAATGTTCAATTCTCTTATCATACTCTTCTTTCATATCACTAATACGAAATAGATCGTTAGAGGATATAAAATAATCAGGAAATGTCCATGGTTGGACAATACAACCTAAACGATGAATTGTATAATATTCCAAATCAATGACAAGATGAAATCGGGATAGATTTAACACTTTTCTAGTTGAATTCTCCAATGAATCTTCTAGTATATTATTTTGTTGATTATTTATCAAATCATCCAACTGATATTTTGGTAAAAATTCTTTCAAAGTAATATCTATACCATTTGAATTATTATAATGATTAACTTTATCTACACGTATATTATTTGTTGTATGTGTAGACCCAGTGATAATTTGTATCGATTGAATAGTATGACTAGTATCATCCGACTGCATAAATAATACTTCGTTGATCTTAGTGCCGTCATCGGTATCATTATAGTTAGTTGGATTGATAATATCATTTCCTGATGCTAACTGTTTCATTGTTTTTACAATGTACGGTGGAGGCAGTAGTATATCTAGACGTGATTCTAAACAGTTGCGGACAGCAACAGTTAAATCTATCCAAAAAAAAGAGAGCATGAATAACAGGGAATATATTGTGCATAGTATAACATTTTGAACAAGAAAAACAGATAGATTAATCATTCATGTTATTTCAAGAAATCGCTTGTCAGAAGATGTTGAATACACTATCGGAAATGAGAGAGATTACTGAACAATTTTCTCACTTTTAAGGTATAAAGACAAGCATACTTACCACTAATCTAACGCATTTGATGATGGTGACAGGTATTTCCAGTTTCCATAAACTCTATGCGCAGATAAGATTCCTCATTCTCATACTATCACTATGAAATCAACCATATTACCCAGCTAATCTTATCATTGTGGAAAAAACAAAACACATGCTTCACCAAAAACCTAGACACTGCAGTGAAGATTACGTCACTTATGTTTACCAGTTTACATGTAGGTATAGTCACCTACACATAATGAGGAGTAATCGAGTCGTGAAGGTGAGAGTGGAAGAACATGTACTTAAATGGCTTCAAAAACAAATGTGAAACAGTAATAAAAGCTGATAGGAGACGACCCTCTTCATCTATAGCTAGACATATCATAGAAACAGATCACAAAGTGAATGTTCAAGCAACTTTCAGAGTTTTATATGGAAACAGTCAGGGACGTATAATGAGATTTGTGGAAGCGATAACCTTACATAAATTGAAACCACTTTTATGTGAACAAAAGCAATTTGTTCTTACACTACACCAGTCTTGGTAAACTTTGTTTTCTTACCAAGATTAGGATCAACTATGTCACTTCCTGTTTGTTCTCATCTTTCTTAACTTTAATCCCCTATTGTGTTAATTGTTGTATTTATCCTCCCATTCTTCGGTTTAATATATACTGACTTGATGAGTAAATGTGTAATCAGATTGTTAAAAATGTATTGCGCAAATACATCACATTGTTTAGATAAACTTCATCTTCTAATTACGCTATCAAAATTCATAAAAGGGAATAACTGTTTCAAGTTTGAAATCCTGATCGCCTGTCACATTTCTTTAAATTTATCAATACAAAATAACTTATTCATTCAACAATGCACATACTTTTCACGGCGTCAATTAATAAACAAAAGGTTTTTCAAAAGAAATCCAACTGAGCAAATCATTACTCAACAATTATGAATCCAGATTGAAGGCATAATCAAAGAACATACATTACACGATTACAAGAAAATTGACTTCCATACTGCAAAAACATCCACTTCATCAGCAAAGCATGCAATAATATTTGAGCTAATCCCAGACATAGTGGGCTAAAAGGGACATCATCAGTACAAACTTACATAATCTTAATAGTTGACGTGCGACAGATCCTGGGGCTAAGTTCCGTTCAGATTCTAATAACTTTAAATTGTAATTTCTATCCAAAACACAAAAGTCAGCCAAATAAGTTAGGCGCAATAGGTAGGAAATCGCATCACTCAACTCCATTCCGGGTACGGATTCTAAACTGCCAATTTCACCCTAACATATGTGACAAAAAAAAAACAAAAGTACACCACAGAGAACCGTAAATACCAATTTTAATTCGACACGTAATAAGAGAGAATGAGGTAGTTATGATGGATAGTGATGAGCAGTGGAATCCAGTACGCGAGTTTTGGCCAATGTAGCACTCCTCAGCTGAATGCATCTGCCTCCCAGCATATAACATTGTTCCCACCCAAGACCGATTGCTTCAAATTCTAGAGCGTTACTCATCAGGCCGTTGAGTCATGATAGCCACTCCTTGTGGGACGAGTATAGATTTCATGTTATAGTTTGTAAATCCCCATTGTTGAAAAGTCGTAAACAAGATGAAACATGCATCCTGGATTCGACTGCTAGTCACTAACCATCATCACTATCAACGTGAAATTATTAGCAATATCAAAGCATCTGAGCATGAGCCATTTTTCCAATAGAGGCTGATTAAGTCGGTCCAACTGACAACGGAAAATTACAAGTAATAAACAATTTCCAATATAAATACGCATTAAAACCTGATATTTGAAGAGATCCATATTCGAACTTCAGGAAAAAAGAAAGATATTTAGTGACCAATTTTACAAAGCTTAAGCCTGATTCGTTAGTTGATTGCTCTTTATGCGTGATTAGTTAACTTCAATTGAATTTCTAACAATAAGCAGGAATTTTATGCTGAAGTGACTTCCTTTATTGATGCTATTTGTATGAAATGTACTTAGAGCATGATTTTATCATGATCTTCTAAATCACAATTTCATTTTGTAGAACTTCGCCTGAGTGTTTGATATCTTCTAGCTAAGTGTAACCGTGTGCACATTTAGCTAGTTTGAAGTCCAATGATTTCAACACTAGGGTTGCTGAATTAGAACGCGTTAGGTCTACGAAATTCCCTCCTTTATAGTTGAACTGATCGTCATCAATGTTAACATGTAGTGAGACTAAAAATTGCACCTCAATACTCAGGACGAGTACTGGATTTCAATAGATTGAGTTATTCAACAGTGTCCAACATAAAGGTAACCACAAGGGATCTCTATATTCACGTTTTATCTTAAGTGTTAATTAAGTAGCTAACGTTTCACAATATAATCTGTTTAGCAACTCACTTAGTCTTGTGGAACTGCTTATATAAGACGCACAAAGCACTTTGTTTCCAAAAACATTCTTTATGGCTATTTAAAGGAGAGTGTAAGGCGATTAACAGCTCGATTCTTGAGCATCTGGTTAACCCTGCTCCCCAGGAATCTTCCCTCAGGGTCATGTATGAAGTCGAATCAAACATTTCGAAAGCAGTGCGGATTCGCTACTTGAACACAACAGAAGCGGCGGGAATTCATGGCTTCAAACTTGACCGCTACGTTCAAAAGAGGTATGTCCTTCGTAATTTTCACACCTGTTCGATTACTTCATAGATAACCACGTAATCACCTTGTTACTCTTTGTATTAACCTTTCAGTCATTACCCTGTATTTCTATAGACAATTTTTGATAACCTACTAATTATAATCACCTTACGACTATTGACGTTATATTTAACCATCAGCTATTGATGGACATATATTTTTACTACTGAGTGATGATTGAAGGTTAAATGAAAATCTGGGTCGCGGTAGGATTGGAATCAGAGAACATCGGATTTTCAATCCAATGCTTTACTAACTGAGCTATGAGACCCGACTCCTGACCAGATTTTTATTTCGCTTTAATCACCAAGAGTTTTGTCCGACTGCCGTGTGAATTCATGATGCGTCACTATCGTTTGATCGAACTCATACTGGCCACCTACTCAAGACTTCTCATCCCAATCCAAATCTACTCAAATAAGAGAGGGGGAGCATCATATTGATTATCAGTTTGACTATCTGGGATTGCAACCATGGTTCGGAAAACTGATACTGAGTGATGGTTGGAGATGAAATGAAAATTTGGGCCAAAGTAGGATTCAGACTATCGACCACCAAGTTTTCCTTTAACTAGAAATATGCATGTACGGTTTCTGAAAATACTTCGTTGAGGAAAAAAACTTTCCCTACTGAATTTTCTTTTGCTAGGTATACCCGTCATGGTTTGACTGTCTGGTAAACATATGCCCATTCAAAAAAATCTACACTTTTCCGGAGTTAGTTCTCAAATTCTGTTAAAGTAGAAGTAATTTATCAATGCTTTCGCTATCTAGCTAAATGCTGAATTACATCTCAATAAACTTTCCTGCGAGTTAATCACGTTGAAAATATTACGAAGGATAACGTTTTTTGCCAGATTATTGACTCTTGCAGGTGTAATGAATTTCTACTCTCCTAGAAAGTAAATACACAACTTTTGTTATAATTTGACATTAATTTAGTTATTCATTGTATTAAAGATTTGTGACGGTTGTTTACGTGAGTCCTAACTAGATTGGATGGAGTTCACAGTTTCATGACCCAAAAGTCTACGGTTAGACTAAATTTATTCTTTTATCGAACTAACAGTGTGGTCAACTCTGTTTTTCCAAAAAGTACTAAGGACCCTTTTTCTTATCTTTTTAATTTACATCATATGAATATTGTTCATACAAGAACAAGAAATCAGTGAGCCTGTAGAGATTCCTATCATTTGTTCTAAGATCTTGTTATTATTCTAGAAGAAAATTTAAAAAAGTATAGTGGGTGCGGGATAACGTTTGGGACACAATTTATTGTCCATATTCATATCAGACCTGATATGAATATGGACAATGAATTGCGTCCGAAACGTTATCCAGTAAATGCAACTGTTTCCCTATGTGATATTTCTAATAAACAAACTAAAATGGAATTCCAATCGACCAGGGGTGGCCAAGTTTTACTCTTATATGTATGAGGCATGGTGGATGATTTGAGTAAAAATAAAGACTATTTCATATCCTATCCCCTTAAGCATAGAATACAGTTAAACAGGATGAAGATGATGATAATGACATAAATTACAACGACAGTCAATATCGATTCTCACAGTAGAACTTGACGCAGCGGCAAGTAAAGGTAATAGGCCTCCACACGCTCCAATAATCATATCAGATAAATATGAGATAATATGTAGAAGATTTGCTATAAAAGGGGATTCATTTCTGATTTCAATAATACTTGTATTCAATTGGTTATCTTCATTGGATTGAATCACGTTGATATCTGTTAATGAGGATTTATCAGTTGGATGTGAAATATATGACGATTGATTCAAAGACAATGATGTTGATGATGTTGTTGGCGATTTCGATTGTGAAGATAACTGTGAATGAATTGATTCTTTCTGATATTTTGTTGTTTGTTGCTTCAATACATTATCACGTGATTCAGAAGGTGAAGGCGTTGACGCTTTTTATGGACATCTTGTTGACTTTAAAAAAAAACATTTTTTTACAACACAAACAGAAAAATATTGATAATCAAATTCGAATGAGGTCAAACAAATCAACATTGACAAATGAACACTTTGTTTAGCTGAATTCAATTGAGATAAACAAATAGGAATAATGTACACAGAAGTATAATCGATTTAATTTTCTAAATTAGGAGTAGGTTAAGAACAAAAGTGAGAAGACAATAGAATAATCACCAATAAGGACAAAAACTACATGAAGATTTTAAAAAAGCTAAGCATGGAGATACATTGGCATCACGGTTTCGGTGGTGTTTGAGTTATGTCGTGACTTAGGGTATTTAACTAATGATTTCTAACATAGCTGAATAGAAGATTTAGATATGAACTGATAACAGTTGGAGAACCATTCTAAACTATGGAGTACTGGGCAACTATTTCGTCCTAGTATGGGACTCCTCGACAGTGTGTATCCAAGACTTTGTCAGGGATGGAACCCACGACCCTCAGGTTTCGTGGTGAGGAGCTTACTGTTTAGAGCCACCGAGTAGAAACACAATGGCTCACATTTTCCTATTTCCGTAATGACTACCCCCTTGAAATCAATTAAATCTCAACAAACCTCAAAATGAAGTGAAAATTAACTACAGAAGACGATTGCAGCGAAGAAAAAAAATCTTTTTCTGACGAAGTCATTCTCTTAGATGTACACTCGTCAATATGTGCTTGGAACGATAGAACATTTTGAGGTGATTTCGGTCAAAGGTCAAAACAAATTGCATAAAAAAAGAAATTACGTAATATAATCAGTGAATATACAGATTATTACAAAGTGATACATAGTGACATCACGAGGGAACTATCTTCAGTCATCGAAGCTTTACGATGGTCATGGAGAAGAAAGAGCTTGTGCATACTTCTTTTGAACGCGCCATAGTGGCTTCAACTATTGAATTGCTAATCCTTCAGCTATGCTTAGATGCCTTAATCTTACTCCTTTCGAGTGGTTCAGTAGAGTTTTGAAGGACATATCCAAAGAACAAAGTCTCCTGAGTTTACTAAGTGCTTTATTACAGAGCTGAAGATGTATTTCCTCTCTTTCTTTGTCTCCACTAGGGTTGGATGGTGTTCACGCGCACGTTCCCAAGCTACCGTATGGTGTGGTCTATGTACCCGGTGGACAGGCACAGTTAAGTTGATGCACACTTATTGACAAGAAATTACTCTAGAATGTCCTGTCGTCTATACTATATGTTCATGAACATACAATTAAAGGAATGATTTCCGTTATTACAGCATGTGCTCCTTAAAAGACTAAGGGTAACGGAAACCTTTGCACTAAGTAGATGTGATAAATTGAAACCTAAATACTTGTTCGAGTATATTGTTTTCTTGGAAATCTTATACTTAAATGTCCATTTGCCTTCCGCCTAACAAGTTAGTCAGGAAAGGCAGCTCACCATTATCTGTTTCTTTTTCTGATCTAAACTTGATTCTGGTAGATTTAGAGTTTAGTTGATCTAAGATTGCCCGGTATAATTCAAATTTTAAGATTACGAATATGTTAACAACATACCTCAGTCAAATTTTTGGCTTAAGAAGTGAGCGAAGACACCTTCTTCGAATTTAAACAAGAAAAGATAATAAAGTTTTAGGTGTTCGGTGTCAGTTGACAGAAATATCTAGTTCTGGTTTTCGTGATTACTGTTGACACTCATCAGTAAAGTGTCTGTATCTGCAACCCTAAGGATATTCAATCTCGCTTATACTTGACATTAAAACAAAGTCCACTTTAGTGTTGTATCAATTAGTATGGCAATCACATTTATAAACTTGAACGATAGGCTTTGAGTATTATATAATAAACAAGAATTCATGCGTATATCGATTACTTTTCAGAGACCAATTTGTGTAAAAAATGAAAACAGTATTAAATTATTAAGTTGGATGATCTAAGAGGGCTTAATGAACTGAATATGGTAAAAATAAAGTGAAATAACTCAAAGGAATAGGAGACGGCAAGAAACTTAGTATGTTACTGTATAATTTCCCAATTAATCAATCAATTTCAACAAAGGACAAGGCATTAATGCGTAACGGTCCGAGTTTCCACAGCTTCGTACAGTACATCAAGTAGAAACGTAGTGAGGTGAAAGATGAAGATAAGAGAATGCAGTCAAAAGAAATATAAAGTACGAAAAGAAAGAAAAGGGGAATGATAAAATGGTAAGATTCGGTATAGTGTAGTTAAGATGAGGATAATGTGTGTATACATCTGCACCAGTGACATCGGTTCTCAGCCATGTGATCACCTAGTCTCTAACCACTGGTTCCTGTTGTCCCACGAACTTAACCGGTTAGTCTGCATCGACCCCCCACATAGCTCAAAACAACTGTCAAAGACTTCATGCATCGACGTCATGTGTCACTGTGGCCGCACCTAGCATTTTGCCAGCCTGGACCTACCTCGGCCAACATTGTGTGACAAGGCAATCGGTGACTAGGCATACGTAGCACATATCCCAACAATCTCAGTCGATGAAGGTTCATAACCTCGTCAACTGATTTACCTCTTCTCCCAAAACTCTACACCTGACTTCTGCATTACTCACATGGTACACACGGAATACGGCCTATACTACAAAGTCAATGATGGTCAAACACTTGAAGCCTTCTCATGTATTCCACTTCCAATGGCCATGTTTCAGTCATACAGTAGAACAGACCGGACTGCTGTGCAGTACACGCGACCCTTAGTAGAGAATCGAATATCACGGCGGCGCCATAGGTGGCGTAAATTGGCAAAAGCCAATCGAGCCTTTTGTATCCGTGAAGAGATTTCATCGGCAAATGAGCCACCAGGGTAGGGCTGATCCTACTACCCAGGTAAGTGAAGTGGTCAACACACTCAACCACTTCACTCTCTATTGTTACCCGTGGCATGGTTGAAGACCAGTCCTGGAGCAAAATTTGCATTTGGGTGTGAAAATCGCATCCCAAACATTCTCGAATTCCACTCAAAGTGTTCAGAAGACTCTGCATCTTGTCAGCGTCTTCACTTAACAAGACTATGTATAATTTCTACTTGGACAGACACATAGAACAGTGAGTGGAACACTTTTTATAGGGACTATTTGGTCCTAATACATTGCTCAATGACTAGCTAATGTACGCCCATACAACGAAGTGAAGTCCATGAAACGCCTTTAGATGTTTTTTTTTAATGATGAAGGTGATACTAAAGTCAGGGAACTGACTAGTTGTTCAAGAGGCTATATCAAGCTGAGAATGGTTCATTGCTCTAGAACAAAGCAATCATAGTAGTGAAGCAACGTATGTGATCTTTTCCAAATACTGGCTCCTGTTATACCTCGTAGACTTCGCAATATTTGTGAAAATCTGACTCACAAGCAGGGGATAGAGTTTCATCAAGTCTAGGAAAGCACGTTTACATTTTCACCCTCTGCCATAAGCTCGAACACGATTATATGTATTGCAGATCAGTAATCACTGCGTCTGTTGAAAACTACGGGAACAGGAATGTGCGGTGTGCTCTTCAAAGGTTCATTAACACCTAAACGCCTTATAAAAAAGCCCCCACATATAGAGTAAGAACATACAACCACCTCTCTGCAATGTATTAAACCGACAATAAGTGAGATAGCGCTGACGAAAATCACTATTTCCCGTCAACTTTGTCATCGACGATATTATTGAGATAGCTGTAGAGGAAAAGCATCGTAGTTCGTGTACATATGTTGCAAGGAAAAAAAATCCTCTAAGTAGACAAGGGATTGCGTCTTGTTGTATAACAACATACACTGAAGTAGTTGGCAATTTCCATCTAGCAAGTACGGCTTGTCCGCTTCATTGATGAATCATATGGCTTCATAAAAATGACATGCACCTGCGTCTATATTGGTGACCAGTCTCTAGAAGTAATGGAAAAGTTCGTACATCTATGTAGTCGTATGAGTACTGATATAGGCATGGCGAACGAGATTTCTAACCACATTCTACACGGAATAACTTGGTGTCACAAGATGATGGTCAGTTTTATTATATTACCATCTGTTGCTGAATAATAAATTATCCGATGGAGTTCTAGGGATAGATAATGCAACTCTGTGAGTCGAAACGTCATCACACCTCGCTCAGAATCTAATCCCAAAGCAACTATGATGAACTTTTCTAGTTTACTCGAGTTCTGAGGAATAAAAAGAAAGTTATAGACACTACCTCGGATGTATATATTACGAGACTATTCCTCTAACCACTTCATAAGTGTTTTTCCCTCTTTTCATCTATCTTCCTTTGATCTTTTTTAAAAGTTGTTCAGCTATTTGTGTGTCTAACAGTTTACTTGCTCTTGTGGAGCTAATTATGTAGGCCGCACAAAGCGCAGTCTTTCCAAACGCATCTCCAAGCACTATCCTGTGTGGTTGACCAGAGGAGAACGCATGCCAAGCAACATCTCCATCTAAGATCATTTGGTCAGCTGTGATCAGGTCGCTTCCCAACAGTTTTCTTTCAAAATCCTATAAAAACTCAAACTAAACCGTTCAAAATGAATGCGGATTCGTTACTTACGCATACCAGAGGTGTTGGCAATCCAACAATCAGAGCCCAAGCTCTGTATACAGGAGACCTACATCTGATTATTGATTATAATTGGTATGATTATTCTTGGCCTGTTTACTTTCTAACCTATTAGTCATCAGGTTACTCGACTGCATATTTCCTTTATACACACTTACTTGACGATGCAATCTCTTCTAACTTCACAGTTGACCCACTAATTTACCGTAGAACGTTTCGTTCTGATGACTCACTAGCCAATAATGGACAGATCTGTTTATATGTTATTACTATAAATACGATTGTGCAGGTGCTGAAAATGATTCGCTGAAGAGAGATTTTCTTTGCTGAATTATGTTTCTGAATGCCTCAATAGGAATTTTTTTCGCAACTAAAAATTTAATTCTTTAAGAAACCATGTCCTCAGTTCCTATTGGTAG